ATCCTGACCACAGAGGAATAATCCCACAATAAATCCCCAAATGGGGTGTAATCCTGACCTACAGTGGAGTAGCACAGGTGTATCTTTTCTGCCTCCTGGCATGGCTGTGCAGACAGGGGCTGACAAACCCCCTAGCACCCAGTTGATTAGCGATGCCTGTCTGAACCGCACGTCAGGGCAGTGAGAATCCCAGAGGGCCAGGCCACGGCTGCGGTGCACTGCGCAGCAGCAGTTGAGACAGCAGAGACTTGGCGGGGATTCAGGGACTTCATAAAGCGGCAATTAAAAACTTTCCATTTGGAAGGAAAGAAGAAGATTACAAACGGCTGCCATGGCAATTCAAGGAAACATTACAGGATGGGGGGGAGGGCTGTGGAACAGGCCCGGTTCATGTGAGGAGGCACATGTGTGGGAGACGACGGGTACCAAACATCACCTCTAATTCCCTGAATGTCAACATCTCCAAAAGAAGCAGCTGGAATCACCCTCCCCCCCGGCAAACATCGACCATTCCCTCCTCATGGACAGGGGGCAACACTGGTGTCTGATGCTTCAGATGAACAGCACATGGGTCAGAATGAACAGGTCTAAAAGCTGCGATCCCAGAAGTGTTTCTGCTTCACTGCCATTACTGATAGGAGCGCTCACATCAGCCCAAAATCTATTCCACAAAACAGTCAGTTGATTCTGTGCACACAAGTCAGGGAAGAGGAGTTTATTTAAGAACATCATACTAAACCTCACACGTAGTACATTTTTTTTTTTTTTTTTTTTTTTTTAAAAAGAGAAGCTTTTACCAGCTAATGCAGATTACATTTCAGTGTCGAGGGCAAAATTCTTTGTGGAATTTCAGGGTACTAGTCCAAGTAATTAACTATTTTTCCACCGAATGTATGAATGATACTTTGAGTGCAGGCAGGTGACTGACACAGTCCTGGGGCGCAGGATGTCGCAGTGGACGGCAAAGGCTGGGAGTGGGGGGGGGTTAGGGTTTCCAGCGGTACGCTGTGGTCAGAACCACCCATACAGGCCACCCTGAAAACGGTGCCAAGCCCCGCTGGCAGCCCGAGGACATGGCCTGCTCGCTTCGGAAATGGCATCACAGCAGTCAGCGAGATCATCACCGGCGATGCCTGAAAAGAGAGATGGAACAGAGAAAGGAGACCAGGGGAAGGGTGTGCGGCTGGGGGCGGAGACCTGGGGTTCTGTTCGTGCTGGGGGGAGGAGAGAGGGCGGTCCAAATTGCTGTCCGACAACGGAGAGAATGTTTGTGGCTGGATCTAATTCATCATGAAAAACTTGTGGGGGTGGGGGTGAGGTGGTTAAAAAACACTGAAGCTTCAGAGCAGTGAAGCAGACATGAACTCTCTGCGTCAGTGATCTTCCTCCACGGGGTGACAGAAGCGGCCCGGGACCGTCTCTCTCAGCTACCGGTCTTAATTCCTCAGGTGTGAAACACTCCATCGCAGCAGTTCATCCGCACACACAGACTTCTTAAAATGCATTTTTCAAACATCACGCAGGGATCCTCGCTGAGCCACACTGCATATGCACAGTGGAACCACTACTGAAGAGGACTTTCCGGAAGGTTCATAGCGTTCGAGGTTTTGGTCCAAAGCAGCACTGGCACAGAGACAGCGACCTGGTGAGGAAGGACGTGTGGAACCAGGGGTGGGTTTGGACCCCACATCTGTGATGACTTTCAGCCTGGAGACACGGGCATCCTCTGCTGTGCCAGGACAACTGGTGGTCTGAACAGAAAACCGGTGCAGGTGACGTCTCCCTGGTAAGCCAGCCGCCACGGTGTAGACCGCACAAACGGTGTAGACCGCACAAACGGTGTAGACCTCACAAACGGTGTAGACCTCACAAACGGTGTAGACCTCACATCCAGGGAGCCACACACCTAAGGGGTGGAGGGGGGGATGTGGTGGTTCTCACCATTACCCCAGATAAACAAGCCCCTTAAGAAACCCCTGTGACCCCCAAATGCAGCTGTACAGATTTTATTTACAAGCGAAACCATCAAAAGTTGTAAATGTGGTTCATCCTAATTATTCATGTTGTGTTTTAAATTAATAACGTATATGTTAATAATTAATAATAATAATCTAATTTATGTATTTGGCTTTGTGTGACCCCATGAAACCATCTGGCCACCCCACTGAAAAATTTCTGCTGACAGCCCTGCAGATGACATAACGACTGCAGGAAGGGTGGGGGTATGGGGTAGTGGAGCAGGACCTGTAGCTGAGGGGTTTGACGGATCAGTGAGTTTGGGATTGTGAGGCCAAGTATCCTGTATCTGTACCTGTATCTCCCTGTAATCCAGCTGTATTTCTGTGCCCATTAATTACATTATAAGAGTAAATACTACTGCCACCAGTTGGTGAGGTACGGACCGTAGCGGCATTAAGGGCACAGTGCATATGTTGGGGTAGTAGGGGGGTTCGATTCCACAAGGTCGTTCCGGTGCTAGTGTTCCCCGGATTTCCCGCTCTGTGACGCTGTCCGGAAGCTTGCGGCTGACTCAGCTTTCCCAGAGCTTGGACTCACTCACAGTACGGATTCCTGAAGCTGGGACAATGCTCTCGCAGCCACAAGCCGTTAATGACAAATGGTGACCCTCGGGTATATGAGTAAGCCTGGGGGGGGTCTTGTGGGGGGTGGGGGGGGCGGAGTACAGTGTGCTGTCCACGTTTTCCACTGTTTGGTCCTACTTCCATGTCATATACTGTAAGGCGAACCATATGAGGCACTCTGATAGGACGACTCAAACCTATGTTCAGCAGGTCTCACAGGACCATCATAGACCACATGGAAAATGTCCCAGATGAGAGAAGATCGGGGGGGGGGGGGGGGGGTTGCAGAAGAGGGGTGTTGTTCACCTGAGGTGGCAACACATCCCATTGGACACTAACAGTTCCAGAGGAGGCCAAGGTTGGGCTCCTCTGTTTCCTGGGGACGACTGACCCCCCCCCCCCCCCCACAATGATCCGTTAACCCTACAAAACAAAGTGCCTGCTGCCTGCAGCTCTTCCAGGACTGTGATCTCCATACCAACCTCATAACAGAGAAGCAGAGATGTGGCTGCAGCATGCTCTGCTTGCCGGGGGGGGCGTTGATGCATTTCCCACTTCGAGTGACCATAACATGCCACAAGGACAGAACACCGCAAAACGTAAGGAGGCTGGAGGGGTGGAGATGGAGGTAGAATGAAGGATCAGTGACAAAGGCGGTGATGACCACCCCCACCCCAGTAATAAAGGTCAAGTGTGTGCAGCTCCTACTCATTACCCCCCCCCCCCCCTTGCTCACAATGCTTCCGACCACCACGCAGCTATGTCTTCTCGAGGAGCAAAGATCGCCACCCTGGATGCAGGAGCCCCATAGGCTAGAGATCATCCATGCCCCATCAGCATTTGTCAGCGGCACGAAAATGTAGAGGAAAATTCTGCGTCATTCATCCGAGAAGAAGGGAGAGGAAACCAACAAACAAAAACAATTTTCCTTTTCGTATGATTTCTTCAGTGGCCATTATGTGCACAAGCTTGACCACAGTGCTGCTTGGGCAGCGCTGGCTTGATGGTTAGGGACACACACTTGTAACTGAAAGATTGCAGGTTCGAATCCCCAACCAGCAAGGCACCACTGAGGTACCCTGAGCAAGGTACCGCCCCCCAACACTGCTCCCCAGGCGCTGAATTAGCTGCCCCCTCCTATGTCACATTGTCACATATGGGTTAAATGCAGAGGACACATTTCTTTGTTGTGTGCTGTGGTGTGTCAACAATGACAAATAATCACTAAAAAAAATCACTAAATTCACATTCACTGCAGCGCAATGACATCATGCCACTGAGGCCCCGCCCCTTTACGGTCCACAGCGGATTCCCATTAAAGGAGCCCCATGGGCCACTTTTCTGCTCTGCTCGAGCGCACGTCCTGAGGACAGTGCCAGAACACACAGGCCAGCAGAAACAAACAGCACTCACACACCAGGTGCACGGAAGACAAACACGCGTCACGCCACACACGTGTCAGCCGGAGATCATACTGTGTTTACCTGATCCAACCAGCATAAAATCAGGGTTTAAGAACATTGAGGACTCCCACACGCTCCCACCCGGGCTCCCCAGCACGCTCCCACCCGGGCTCCCCAGCACGCTCCCACCCGGGACCCCCAGCACGCTCCCACCTGGGCTCCCCAGCACGCTCCCACCCGGGTTCCCCAGCACGCTCCCACCCGGGCTCCCCAGCACGCTCCCACCCGGGACCCCCAGCACGCTCCACACGCAGGAACCTCGGCATTCCTGAGCACTGGAGTCTCCCTCCCGCTGACGTCAGGGTTGTAAACGCCAGCACGGCTTGCGTGGGTTTTGTGAAAGTGCTCATGCACGTGGCCTGGACTCAGAACCTATGACTCCAGAACCTTATGAAGAGCATCCACACTGGGATCAGCTGGATCGCTGCCCCGGGTGTTTGGCAGCATCCGCAAAGACAGATGCTAATATTCTATGTTTATTGTATCGCCCTGATAAATTAAATATAAATTTTAAAACATTATTAAAATTAGCACAACACCACACAACACTTTGACAGTAAAATCTTAAGAGCATGAATAAGACGTTAGCAGACACCTGGGTCCGAATAAAGTACGGAAAGAATTTTTGGCATTCATTGGCTTGTTCCAGCATAAGACCAGATCTCTGATCGCTAATGTGTCAGCTTGCAGCAGGCTGTCCGAAGTTTTACAAGCAAACCAGGCCTCAAACTGATGGTCCAGGACTAACAATAGGACATGCAACCTAAACGGGCAGCACTCTGCATGGCGGCTTCAAGCCAGTGAGGCATTCTGGGAAATCTCCACACTGCCCCAATAGCATGGCCTGATGCATGTGCTGAAATTTAAAATGCAGACTAATAAGTCACTGAAAATGGTTCAGAATGAACTGGAACTAATGTTGGGTGTCAGCCTGTTATGTGGCACGTGTTTTTCATCATTTCATAGCCGTTCTCGTAACACTTCCTCTTGGTTCCAGAGGCAGTTGTTCATACAAACGCTGCATGCATGACCACCCTAACCCCCCACTCTTTCTGTCCCTAGCAGACCACCATCCACGGGAATCACGGTACCGGAGCCCATCCTGCCCACGATGAAGCTGCTTGCCACACTGCTGCTGTTCCAGCTCCTGGTCTCCAGACCCAGCTCCGGGGTGGAGGAGGCGCAGGAGTTTGAGGGCGGGGAGGGTGGCCCAGAGCACGACTTCCTGTATGGGCGGCCACAGCGGTCACGGCGTGGGCGTGCCACTGGTGATGGCCAGCAGGAGGACAAGTGCTCATACACCTTCATCGTCCCGCAGAAGAAGGTGACGGGTGCCATCTGCGTGAACTCGCGAGAGCCGGACTCGCTGCTGGAGAACAGAGTCCACAAGCAGGAGCTGGAGCTGCTGAACGGGGAGCTGCTGAAGCAGAAGCGGCAGATCGAGACGCTGCAGCTGATGGTGGAGGTGGACGGCGGCCTGGTCAACGAGGTCAAGCTGCTGCGCAAGGAGAGCCGCAACATGAACTCGCGCGTCACGCAGCTCTACATGCAGCTGCTGCACGAGATCATCCGCAAGCGGGACAATGCGCTGGAGCTCTCGCAACTCGAGACCCGCGTGCTAAACCACACATCAGAGATGCTGCAGCTGGTCAACCGCTATAAGGACTTGGAACACAAGTACCAGCAACTGGCCATGCTGGCCAACAACCAGACGGCCACCATCAGTCGTCTGGAGGAGCAGTGCCTGAGGATGCCCCTGGCCGCCCGGCCTGGCCACCAGCCCCGCCTCCTGCCACAGCCCCGCCTCCCACCACAGCCCCGCCTCCCACCACAGCCCCAACCACAGGCCCCGCCCCCACCCCTGGCCCCACCCCAGCCTCCGCCAAAAAGTAGACCCTACCAGCCACCCACCTACCCCCGCATTACCAACCAGATCACGAACGACATCCAGAACGACCAGAACCTCAAAGCGCCACCACCTCTTCCGACCACGTCAAATGGGACAGGTGACCCCCCCGTCACAGTCAAGCCCTCAGGTGAGTCATGCCACCCCATGACAACTTCCTGTTTCTTAGTAGTTAGTGAACCAGAGAGACAGCAGTCGTTTAATACAGACCACCCACCCTGGTGATGAGCACAGCAGATGTCCCTGAAACCACATACGATGTCATATTTCAGCTAGTGTCAAAACAAAGCTATTACTATTGGGCCCAATTTCCTAAGGTCAGCCAGAACCATGTAAGAATATTCTGTAAAAACCACACTGGAAAATGACTAGATTACAGCATTTCCTGCAAACTGTGACCTAATGAAGGAATCGCGATTTCTCTAAGTTACGAATGTCTTGAGCAAAATGCCAGAATTGAGCAGCCACAGGAGAGCTGCCTTTCCTGGCTGCGTCACATGAAGCAAATATGAACGCGGAGTATCAGGAATCTTGGATCTCAGAGTGTGGAGGCAAAAAGGAGACAGAAAACAAGCCATAATCGCATCATCGCAGATAAACAGGGCCCCGCGGCACCTGGGGAGGGCTTTAGCTCTTTCCCAGAGCATTAATCAGCTCACAGCTAGCGCCATCTGTCAGGGAGAAGACAGCACACCAGCCAACTCAGTCGGTAAACGTCACACACTCCCAGGGACTGCGGGTTCATGCTAGAAAGACCCCCCCACCCCCCGCCCCCCAGAAGGGGTTTACTGCTCAGATAATCTTGTACTGACAGGCCAGGCCTTGAAATAAGCGAACCTGGAAGCCAGCTCCCACTTGGGATGGTTTACACAACATGCAACATCTGTCCTGCTGTATGAAAAAAGTTCCTCTGTAAAGACAAGAGAATTATAATATCCATTATTGTCACTGTACCAGAGCCCATGCGAAATGTAAAAATGCAAATGACCAGTGGAAAGGGTTTGTTTTTCAGAAAATACACACAACTAGCTGCTAATTGCTAGCAGGTTCTCTCGGCAACTTGCTTTGGGGTTTAACTACCTTGTCATCTGCTCTCATTTAACGTGTTTGATGTTTCCAAGCTTTTTCTGAAGTCAAACAGGAGAATCGGTGGTCCTGCAAGCAGAGCCTGACATTGTTTCTTCAAGGGCACAGCACAGCGCACGGTGCAGAGAACCACAGCAGGACAAACAAGACCCTCTGGACACGGACTCTAAGCTAAACTAGCCGTGATTGCGACTGGGAAGGGACTTTGACACAGTTAATGAAGAACGTGTAGGAGAGCCTTCCACAGATCCACAGCTGTGTGGTACGGTTAACCGGTACGGTTAACGACTCCGCTTAAAATGACAGTGAAATCGCTTTCATAGCGCGAGCGCCTCTTTAAGTAACACATTACACACAAAGCCACGGCACAGAGGCTGTCGAGCATTCCCTGCTGAAGCCTTCTTACTGGGGGAGACCAGGCTGCACAATGTAAACAGAGTGAGGCGAGGGGCACGCATCAGCGAAAGCGCTTTCGACATCAAGGAACTGATGAGGTCATTTACTCCAGCTGGGCCAGGCTACAGCTAGTCGGGCACGCCAACACGAGGGCAGGGCGCTCTTTAACGAGGCCGACGCGGCTCCAGCTGCGCTCCCGCGAGACGCGGTCCTGCAAATGACGAGTGCCCACCGGCTGGGACAGGTGCACCGCTTTTATCCGTGCTGCATGCCACGACTCCACCCACATAGCGAGAAGGGCTACAAACATTGAAGCCGCAACGGAATACAGCAGCTCTGGCCGGGCGCAGGGCCACACGACGCCGGTCTGACACCGTCCCTATGAACACCTCCTCTGAGGCCTTTCACGTCTTCCACCAATGGCCTGCATTTAAGCAATTAAGCCCAGCACTGGTTGCGAGACAGAGGTGTTTAAGTAAAGCTAACACTACCGGCTGGTTATCATTCCAGCCTGCAGTTCTCTCCCATCCCTTCCTCTGCTTTACACTCCTCTCACAGATCAGTTTGTATCCGTCCGTTTCCCTCTCATCCGGCCTGTCAGTCTCGATCTGTACCGCCACAGTCAGCCAATGTCTCCTAGCGGGCCAACCGGCCCTGATAATCAACAGTTAGCGGGAAATTAAGGGAAGTTAACCCATAGTGACCTTTCAAAGAAGGCCTGAAAGTTCACCATTTGGGAGGGTCCCCTTAATCCACTACAGAAGGACCCTTCGAGGCATCACCCCACCCAGCTCTGAGATCACGTTAGCAGCACAAAACACTCATCAAGATACTCAGCATTAAGGAATAATGCAGGCAGGCTGTACGCGGGAGCGATCACGGATCAATACCGAGGCAGGAGGAGTAACAGAGGAGGCGGGAGCTACAGAAGCGGGGCCATGGAGCGCATCAAAACAAAATGGGGGAGGGACACTGTGTCCTGGAATCCTGCTAATTCCACACAGACCTTGACGGAGACAGAGCACTTAGCCCTGCGGAATCTGTCCCGTCTGAGAGGAGAACAGAACCCCTGCCAGTAGCCCTACTGTCGAGCAGGTCACGTGGAGGAAGGAGAACTGGGCTAGAGTGGAGATGTGGTGAGACACAGCACTCAGGGGATGATGCCCGAGGGCTCCAGGCAGAGAGAACCCACTAAGAGGAACGACACGAGGAGACACAGGGAATGATGCACTAGGAGACGAGGCTGAACCAGCTACCACATACTGTCAATACTGGTCAAAGCTCACGTGGCGCCCTAGGCAAGATTCACTGCTGGCGCCCCCTGTCTGAGACAAAGTGAAATTGCCTCGCTAAGCTAGCACCTCCTCAGAATATGCTGCACTAGGCGCTGCCCAAGCTGCCTAATGGGCTGACTGTCACTGGGTATCACACAAACTGTTGTACACGTCTGCTGAGGGTTAAACCTGCTTTCCATTCTCACAAGTACGGCGGGGTGCAGACTTTCAGGGAGATTAATGAAACAAAAGCAGTTTAAATCAATCAAAGCAAAGCAAAGGGGTGGAATGTAACCCGTTGAGCTAACGCCATCCTGTCAGACGTCACGCTTGCAGTTTCCAGGGCAACACTTACAAATAAACAAACCCGCCCAGGCACCGGAAACCTGAGCGGTGGCTCATTTTATAGCAAAGCAGGAGCACGAATGCTCTCCTGTTCCAGAGGTGCCCAGAGCCAAACTCGTCACCTTAAACAGCTACCAATTCATACGTTTATTTTTGCCGCTAAGCAGGAGTCTAAGTGGAAATCTGAGAAATCAGGGAGTCCCGCTTTCGTCCAAGCTGCTGCCTGCTGTCCGCATGTTTGCGAGCATCCCCGTTAAAAAGATCTCGTTCGGAAATCCAGCGTGCAGCACCCCCCCGTGGCCTCATCGGGGGGCCAGGACCGGAGGTGTTTGGCCAAAAATAATCGCTGACATTTAAGTGCCACTGTGCTCGTCACCATTTGTCTTCATATTTCACAGTGATTAAAGATAATTTACAAGACAAATGACCGTGCAAAGACCCCAAAATGCCCTGCTCTTCACGTCACTCAGAAACCGCTACAAAGCGAGGCATTAGAGGAGGAAATGCGGTATCAGTGAGGCTTATATTTACCTCTATAGATCGAGGCTGGGAATCCCAACATTGATGTTAAAATTGACAGCTCTGCAGCTGCTGCGCTTTCGCACCCAGTCCGTCCCCGAGTGTTCATGTGATCGTGACACAGACCGCGTCCTTGGTACTGTGCAGCAGATCATATGGTTTTCAGGTTTAAATTGCTGAATCTCATGGAGGCCAGTTGGGTAGAGACAGCAAATCCCACTAATATAAATGGCTGGGGAGTCTTATA